ACAAAACCTTCTATATGTTTTTGCACAAAGTACACTATTGAAACTATGAGATCATTTGGGCAAGAACCTACACTTACGAACAAATGCGTAATGCAGTGGAAAAGTTCTTTCCAAGTGATCTTGATATTCTCGAGTCTGCGAAGGCACCTCCTGTTGAACCAAAGAGTAATGGTCCTCGACCATCAATGACACACACACGCGAAATGAGTTTTGGTGGTACTTCTCTTTTTTCCGACAACTTTTCAAATATTCAACGTTCTGGTGGATATGCTTTGATAATTGATGGCTCGGCCCTCAAACATGCACTAGATGAACCCTTTAGTCGAAGCTTGCTTTTAGATTTGGCTTGTCGATGTAAGGGTGTTATTTGTTGTCGTGTTTCTCCTCTGCAAAAAGCAAAAGTTGTAGAGTTGGTTAAGGAAGGGAAACAGGCTGTAACATGTGCGATAGGAGATGGCGCCAATGATGTCAGCATGATTCAGGTATGTCATATTATATATTTACCAACAAACTCTAATTCAAATTTTGTTAATTTACATATTTGATTTACAGGCTGCGCACATTGGCATTGGTGTAGCAGGGGAGGAAGGGCTACAAGCTGTTATGGCGTCTGATTATGCCATTGCACAATTTCGTTTTCTTACTCGTCTCCTGTTAGTTCACGGTCATTACGCCTACATTCGTAATTCCTCCCTGATTCTAAATTTCTTTTATAAGAATATGATTGGCGTCGGTGTTCTATTTTGGTTCCAATTATTTGATGGATATTCCACGACAATTGTTTTTGAGTATACATATACATTGTTTTGGAATTTATTCTTCACCTGTTGCGCTGTGTTGGCCATTGGTGTTTTTGATCGTGACGTACCTGATAGAGTGGCAGTAGAAGTACCAGAATTATATCAATGGGGGATGAAAAGGAAAGGATATACGATGCCCATATTTTTTGTATATATGCTTGAAGGGATATACCAGTCCTTGGTATGCTTTTTTGTTCCATATTTTGCTTATGGATTAGGAAGTGTAAACATAAGTGGTCGTCAGCCCGATTATATTGAATTGGGTACAGAGATGGCAGCAGCTTGTATTACAGTGGCTAATTTATTTAATGGATTTAATGTTCAATGCTGGACAGTGTTTCATTTTATTTCTGTATTTGGATCCATCGGATTAATATATATTTACATAGCAATATATAGTTTAGTACCAGATATGCAAGATTCAGGCATTTATGGTTTTAATAATATTGTATATCATTCTGCCGTATTTTGGTTTTGTATTATATTATCTATCATAATTTCTATATTACCACGATTTCTATGGAAATATTGGCAAAGAAATTATTTACCTACAGATGCTGATATTGTGGAAGAAGTGTGCAAGAAAGATCCCCAATTCAACTTTATTCGAGATAGTCGTTTCAATCCAACTTTAGGACTTTACAGGAGTTTAACACGTGAAACAGTTCTTTCTGGTCAAGAATCGGCTGTGCCTATTTATACGGATGGTGTACTTACTCGTACTCCTCGACCTAGCTTTACGACTGAACGTTCTTCAAGCGTTACTTCAGGATTGCAGATAATTACGCAAATAGAGCAACCGAGTGGTATTGAGATACCAGAGACTCCAGCCAGTATGACATTTATGCAAACAGGCGTAACAACGGCTATGCGTGGTTATGCATTTTCGCAAGAAGAAGGTACAGGAAGAATGTTGGCGCCACCTTTACGACGTCGCAAAACTAATCCCGGTCCATTGGGTCATTCGGTTAGAATTGAAACCAACCCACTACGTCGAAGGAGTTTACCGGATGTAAGAGCATCTGCTGATTTAACAGCACGAGTTATAAATAGCGAGGAAAGGATACGCATGGTTCAATTCAGAGAATCAAATAGTTCAACAAGCACATATAACATACATTCTAGGGAAGAAAGCGAAAGTTTAAACGAATCTCCCGTTTCAGAATCAATACAACCAAGGGTGATCAGTAATGAACCAATATCTATGGAGGTGATAAATAATGATAATGATAATATTGATCAAGAAAGCACAAATATTAATCAAGTAAAAGATACGGACAATATTGATCGAGAGGAAACAACTGAATAGTAGTTGTTAATAAGGAGTTATGTTAGAAACATTTAATATTAATTTTTTTTTCTTGCAAATTAATTTATGAAAAAAGAAAACACACTTGTGATGTTTTATACCCATAAATACTTTATCTCAGAAACTGGCTAATCATTGTGCTGGCTAATAATTGTGTATGGTGTTCTAAGAAAAAATGTTCTACACTCCTAAAAATCCTTTTAAACCTTAGATATAACCTTAAATACTAACCTTAACGTGAAAAGATCAGAACCAAAACGTTTATATACAAAAACTTGGGAAAAATTAAATATATATAAGAAGTGCAAAAACACTAGAGGTGTTTTTTAATAATCAAGTTGAATTGATGTAAAAAAGTTATTAAAATTCATTGGTTACAAAATTTTTTTTTTTTTAAAACAAAAAGGCTTCATTTGAATTATAATTTACAATTGAGAGTTGTGTTAAATTTATTACATTGATACAATAAGTGCTGAAAAAAAGCACAAAAACAAAAATAATTCTATGCCTTCTAATTGGCTATTATACGAAGATTTTATGATATTCATTATTCATTATGCTCCTATATTAACATTTTCAAGCAAGAGACACTTTTGCTATGCGTGTCAAAATTCTATATTAACAAGACAAATTTGCAAAATCAGCATCATGTACTATATGTACATAGTCATGACATTGTTTTCTGTGGCCGTCATTCCATAAGATCGGCTGACATTGGTTCTGGAATTCTAAGAGATCGATTACCATGTTTTCCACTCTTTTTACCCTTTTTACAACCTATCAAGCTATTAACATCATAAACAGATTTTTGATTACTAGAAACGTTTTTCTCTAATGAACCATGAATTTTATTAAGCCGCAACCCGTAATGCGCAAAAATTTCCTTTGAAACATCAGCCAACACTTCCAATTGCTTATTTTGCAAGTTTCTGTTTAAAGCAATTTGAACTAATTCTAGTCCTTTTTCCATGATGTCAATATCGTTACTCTTAGAAATCAAATAGATAAGGGAAATCAAACAATGGCTAATGCATTCATCATCAAATATCGGTGTGTCCAAGTGATTGGTGAGTAAGTGCAAATAATATTTAGTAGCATCATTAACGGTTGGAGAGTACCGTACCATTATCTGGTAAGCTTGTCGGATATATCTTATTTCAGTTTTACTTAATGGACGTAAGGCGACAGGTGTCTGAAGCCAAAGTTGCGTAAACGTTAACTTATTTGTTTCATTCCGCATCTCCACATTTTCCAAATTCTTGGTCATATTATCTAAACGTGCCAATCTCTTCCAGACCAATTTATCAAAATCTTGAAATAACGTAGTAGCTGCAGACCAATTTCCTTTATACTTTGCTTCGTTCATAATGGCTTGATTTAATTCAGTAAGTGTAGGTTCTTGCCCAAATGATCTCATAGTTTCAATAGTGTACTTTGTGCAAAAACATATAGAAGGTTTTGT